GATTGTAATTTATCAATTTAGTAATTCTAAACAAAACATATAACAATTTATTTACCTTTAAAAAAAAATCTTTATGTCAATTTTTTTCTCTTTTTATTCATGCCTCACCATATAATTCAACATTATTTAAGTCTTTGCCAACTATAACAACTTCATTGTTTATATCAGCAATCACTATCCCCAACTTAGACATAGTATATCAATTGTGTGGTCTAACTATGTTGGCAAGTTATATTGAAGTGCAATATGGATAGGCAATACCACAATAGTTTTTATTTAGGTTTGGAAAAGAAGTAACACACAACAAATACACACCTCATTAATTGTTGATCATAAGTCAAGAATTAGAATAACAAGGAATTTTTTTTGGAAGGTTTAAAGGTGTAATAATAAGCACAAATATGAGCCTTTGATTAATATGTTAAGTCATCCTATTTGTTGGCAATTGCCAAAAGCTAGGAAACAAAGTATTCAAAAGCTTGCCTTAAAAATGCCCCTATACATCAAAGACTAGTAGTTTTGAGATATAAACATGAATTATTGCTTGTCACAATTATAACATACTTCAATGCCATTAAACATGCTTATTAGAAGTAGTTGATAGATTGTTTGTACATACATACTTTGATAGATAAAAAATTTTAAAAATAAAATAAAATAAAATAAATAGATGTCTGTTGTTGTATTATAACATAGCTTATAGGTAAAAGAATAAAGAAATATTATATTATAGAAGGTATTATTTTAAAATATTATAGCTATAATATTATTTTTGAAATATAGATAATAGTCAAAAGATAGTGAAACTAATAGTACAAATGCTACCTTTTTGTAAAGTAGACTTCTACTTATTTTATACGACCATAAATAAAGCAAAACAAGGTAGATTAGAAAAATAAATGATATAAGCATATTTTTGAGGGAGTTAGGAGTTGAATTTAGCAAAAAATACTTCAGAAAAAGAAGAATTAATATACAAAATGGATCACTTGTCAACGAAGGTCAAAATCAGACCTCAAGGCACAAAACCACTCACCAATGGCAACTCTTTGATTCTTTTGTAAATCAAAGAGTGGAATTTGAGAGAAGAATTCATAGAATTTTTTTAAACATTGTCTTTGGATAATTTGAATTTGTAATGACTTTGTAAGAGCCTTACAAAATCAAAGTTTTTTTTTGATAAATCTGATTTTGTGAAATAGAGAAAGAGTTTGCATTTGGAGAACTTTGTGAGTTTGGTAGTAGATTTATGGATGATACTTTGTAGGCTTGTAATTAAAGTTATTCTTATCACGTGCTGTAAATTTGAGTATGATCAAATAATTAGATTGGAGGTTATTGAAGTTTAAAAAGGTTGAGGTCTCTGAAATAGAATTTAAGGGTTAGTTAGGATTTTTAAGACCTTTAAAAATCTACTAATTAGATTAAGGTGGAATTTATATATGGATAGTACACTTAATTTTTAACATATATATAAATTTTGAGAGATATTTAATAGTAGAATTAAGAGATTTTGGCTTAGAGAGATTGGCATTAAAATTGAAAAAGAAGATTTGTCAATACTTGAGTGGATTTTAGGGTTTATCTTCTATTTTATAAGTTTGATCTTCTTAAAAATATTTTAACTTGTTACAAGCTTGGTTATTGAGATGTATGCAAAATTCGAAATTAAATCAATATTTAAATCAATAATATGTGTTCTAAATTATTTAATATAGTAAAATTACCAAAATATTTCATATTAAAAGGAAATATTTACAACATATAATATATTATATAATTGTGAATTTTCACAAGGCACTATAATTGTATTACAAGTAAGCTCCAATAGCATCTATTACAAATGGTACTATTGATATGAAAAAAACACAACAATTATCATACATCACTAATTTTGTATTATGTAAAGATGAAGAGTTGAAAATTTCTTAGCATTGATTTTTTTTTTTTTAATTTTCTTATGAGATTCAATAAAAAATAAATTCTAAAATTTTAATACCATTGGCTAATGTAATTCCATCTTTGTGCCTAATCATGCTCATGTTTTTAATTTTAAAAAAACAATGCTTTATTTCAGAATTTAAGTGCATTTCAAAATGTAACTACTTTTTCAACTATAATTAAATTTATAGTAATTTATTTTAACTTTATGTATGGTATTGATAATGCCAAATTTTATATTTAAAAATAATATTGATTACTTATCAAAATTTAAAACACTAACATTTGAGCATAATCATTTTTTATTTATTCATTTATTTTTACTTACAAGGATGTAAAAGTCACTATTGTTGAGGCCAAAAAATTAGCTACAAAATAAGCCACACCATTTCAATATTCTTTAAGAATTTTATAAAATAGCATGGAATTTAAGAGAAAAATTCTTATTTTAATTTTAGGTTTCGGATTCTTTGGAATATCTCATTTCCATGTCATATTATTATGTGAATTTGTTTTTGGATCTTTTAGAATCTTAGCATTTAAAAATCTGATCAAGCAGTACAAAACAAAAATTTATATTGATTTTTTCAAAAAATAAGTTTTCTTTTTTATGTGAATATATATATATATATATATATATATATGTTACTCTATTTTCTATCTTATTTTCACCAAATAGTTTCTAAAATAGTGTAATAATTGTTTTAAAAAAATAATACATCTTAATTTTCAAAAATTTAAAATATTTTATAAATTTCACATGAATAGGTACTATTTAAATTGAAACTATGAGTGATAAAATTTTGAATCTTTTTTGTTGAAAAAAAACAAAAAAAAAATTGTTTTAAAATAGTTCTGGAATAAAAAGGGAAAGTAGTTCTAGAAGAGGAAATACATTATCTTAATCTTTCATAGAAGGTTTCATAGAATTTAGATATTTTAGTACAAATGAAATAAATATTAAGATTTTTATTTATCATTTTAAGAAAAAAGAAGGTGTTGAAAAGTCACAAATATTAAGATAAAGTTTTCAGTATTTATAAATTTGCATCATTTAAATGGTTTTTAGGTTTTAAATTTTATATATATATAAAATTTAAAACCTAAAAACCATATATATATATATATATATATATATATATAGTTTATTTTTAATTTTTTTTTCTTTTTTAAAAAAGAAAGAAAGAAAATTATATGCATATTGTGTGAATAAAAATAAGTTCATTAATTTGTAGTAACTTAACAAGGTATTAAGAAATTTTATTTATCTTAATATTTGAGACATTCCTATACTAATTTTTTTTACATAAATAAAATCTATTAAATATGTAAATGAGCTAGAAATTATTGCCAGTTTGTAGAAATAATTTTATAACTCAATTTCGTTATAAAATCTCCTATTTTGATATTTCTACTGAAGATGTATAATGTAGAAAAAATCTAATTTAAACTACCATTAATTTAGCTTCTACTCAGAAATTAAGCCAAATTTTCATGTTCTACCGTATATTTGTATTTTTAATCAATTTTTATACTATGTGCTCGGTTATGGCTCTTACATTTAGAAGTGATGTTAAGTTTTGTCTATCAACAAATGTCTATTCTTTGAAGACATGAGTTCATGATTTCTACTTAGTTATATGAAATAGTTTGTATTTTTCTGAACTTAAAAATTAATACTATGACATTATTCTTATACAAAAGAATCTAATTTAATGTTTTTGATGCTATAAACGTTTCCACTTCTCTATCGTATTTTATTTATTTATTTATTTTTTTGAATTTTTTGTTTGTTTATTTATTTGTTCTTCTCAACAAGATTTGAAAAAAAATTCATACTATAATTTGGTATTCACGAGGTTAAATTTTAATTTTTTTTAAAAATTAAATTAATTTATTGATATTATTATTTTATACTATGCACATTTATCTATAGAATAAAATGTGATGTTGTCATTGATATGTACATTTCTTTATTTATAACCTTTACTTTTCCAAGATAAATATATTATTGATTATTTTATGTGCTAATCCATCATTTTAACAAAATTGTTTGTATCTCTTTTTAAAAATATATATTTTGTATTTTAATTATGTGCTATGTTTTGATTTTACTTTAAAGATATAGAATCCCAATATTAAGCATTAAATGTACTTTAACATTTGCACCAACACTCTAATTTCACCAATTTAGCTCCAAGTTTTTAATACTTTTATAAAAAAATTTACAAAAGAAATATTATCAAACACTTTATTCATGATATATTTTGGTGTGAAGACTTTTGGCATAGTGAAGTTGTTTACATTCAATAATTTCATTTACTACTTGGTAATTTACTTCATGTCTTCTATAACTGATTGATATTTTAATTGCTCTTCTGAACATTTTTCACCAATAGATTCTTTTTCGGCATATGTTTCTTCATATCAGTGAATTCCTTATATTTTTGGCTGAATTTGAAGTTGATTGTATGAATTTGATTGAAAAAACTTTTGCTGTGGTTTTAAAAGTATACTTCTTAGTTATTTCAAATTTATTACGCATATTAACAATTATGTGTTTTAGAACATTTATTTCATATTCCATTTTTTAAAAAACTTAAAAAAAACACCCATTAAAATTTTGAGATAAATTTATACTACTAAAGCTGTTTCATACAGATTTACAGTTTATTTAAAAATTCTATATAACTTTTTTAATGTCCATAGAATATTGATTCATGTTTTCATTTATTAAGATAGACACACGCACACACACACACATATATATATATATATATATATATATATATATAAGTACAATATTCTGGATATCATTGGTACAATGATATTTATTTATTTATTTTTAAAATCCTCTCAAAACTTACCAAGTATAACAAACACTAATGACTACATTAGATGTACATTACACTCAAAGCTGTTGTGTGTATGTGCATGCATGCGTGGTTGTTGTTTGAAGGGCTATCGTCGCGTGTGTTGAGAAAGGATGTTGCGCTAGACCTGACTTGTAGGCGGAGGCTACTTTTCACCCTCGCTCGCACCTTTTTTCTTTCTTTCTGTTTTTTCCTTTTTGCCTCGTCGATCAACCAGCGCCACGACCACCACCTCCACCATCTCATCATCCAAGTCTTGCTGCTGCAGCAGGGAAGAAGATGTGAAGGCCTAGGGTTTTGCTTTTTCGCTCCCCGCACTCCGAGTGCGCTAACTACACATCCCGCAGCGACGTCCTACCTTGTAGTGCCCCCTAGCTAGACAGCCTGTGGAGCTTTTAGGCGAGGGGAGGGGAGTTGAGCGTGCGTGGAGGACGAGGGGGATTCAGAAGCGACAGCGCGAGGGGACTGTGGAATGGATGTGCAAGAGCGATAGGGGGGAGCTCATGACGGGGTGCTGCCGCAGCTGATGCTGCTGCTTGTGGAGCTGTTGGGAATCGGGGTTAGCTGTGGCGGAGGTGGTGTGAGTACAATTAGGGCCTAGGTGAGCGTTGCTAATTAACTGCTGCCCTGTTGTGGTGATGGTGATACATGTCGAATGATGTGAATGATGTCGACGGGGGTGATAAGGTTGATGTCCCGCGTGCAGGCGTGACGGTAGGCTCGGTTGGGGATTTGCCAGGTTGTTGCGAGCTTCTTGGTCCATCAGTTCTTCTGGTTTATGGTGGTCGTTTGTCAGGAAATGTGTGGTGTGGCGGGCGGGCACAGGCTTAGATTGGTTATTGTTCGTGAATTTGTTCACGCTCTTCCGAGGTGTTGAAGATGCATGCCGTTCTTTCCACTGTAGGAGTGTCTGAGGGTCTGGTTCGTGATGTTGAGCTTGCAGAGGGTTTTGGTTTACTTCTTTGTGCCTTCGATTCTGTGTCCATGAATTCCTGGTTTGGCGTATTTTGTGTTGTGTGAGATCTCCTGGAGCTTTAGCTATGATCTTTTATCTCCTGCGTGCAATTATTGTGAAGGATGGCACTATCGTTTATAGGAATGATGGTTGGTCATGCATGTTTTGCATCATTGTGGGAAGCGTCGTTTAAGGAATGAAGGTTGCAGTGGCAGATTAATTGAATGTTTTTTCGATAGTCCGCTTAATGTCACTGACCCTACCATGGCGAGTCTATTCAGCTCCTTGCACAGCTTGGATCTGAGCTGAAATCATTCCACTGGGTTGTGATTTAGAGGTGCTTCAGTGCTTTAGTGCTCTCCTGTATGAAACACTTAGTTGGGACTCTGGCAACGCTTAGAGTTACTGCGACTTCAACATTTTTCTATCCTTCTACAACAAATGTCGATCGGTTTAAGTTTTACAACAATAAACGTGTATCTCCTGTACATTCTTTTCTCATTCTATAATACGGTAAAATTGAAGTGTTTTGGGTGCATACGTTCACTTTTCTTTTCAAAGTGGCTTTGGTTGATCCATTTATGCCTGTCTTATAGTCAGATATCACGAGTGATTGGCCAGATTCTGTATGAAGAAACTTCGTGTCCAGTCGTTAGTAGTTGATACTTCTCAATTGTGTGCGAGACAGATTTAACTGTGAATATAGCCTAATTTATCTTTTTATGCAGGTGGCTGTAAACTCGAGGGGATTGGCTCTTGATCTGGTGGAGGCAGCGGCGAAGCGCTAGTAGTTTAACGTGGCCTGGGGCTTGACGTCTTAGTGTTTTTGCAACGGTGTTAATTATAAGTAGGTTATTTGGAAGGTATGTCTGTGATGTCTTTGGAGGAGCCAGTGGAGCTTAAGTTCCGTTTATATGACGGAACTGACATTGGTCCCAACAAATATCCCCCGGCAACTACTGTAGCCAACATCAAAGAGAGTATCCTCAACCATTGGCCAAAAGGTGTGTGATACAACTTTTTTGTCTGTCTCTGAACTTACCAGGCACTTAATGGGCATATTTGATTGTCGAAGAGGGATTTTGACTGGTGTAGTTGTGCGCTTGTGCAGAGAAACAAAATGGTCCGAAGTCGATTCACGACCTTAAATTGATAAATGCCGGTAAAATTCTGGAGAATAGCAAAACTCTTGCTGATTCCAGAGTACTGTTGGGGGAAATTCCGGGATGTGTGATTACCATGCATGTTGTCATACGGCCACCTACGAATGATAAAGCTAGTGGTACCACATATTCATCTACCCCCTCTGGCTGTGAAGATTGCGCTTCTGATTTCTGTATTTGTCTAACATTTTCGTTAGTGTCTATGGTTATAAGCACCACTCTCATTGTGGCCGGGTTACACTAGTTCTCATATTGTGCCTCTGTAAGACTTGTATTTAAGAAGTAATATGTCAGATACTTTGGTATACTGTAAATAGGGTTCTGGCGTGGCCTCTGTTGGGCGATGTATATTCTAGAAGGGTTTTTTTAGTCTAATTGTATATATTTTAGACGGCTAGTCCCATGCACACCAGAAGTTTTAATGAAAGCGCCATGCTGACTGAACTGTAAGCGTTGTGCAATAAATGAGCGGAAAATCGTTGCCACTAGTTCGTCTATTCTTTTCATAGATGTTAGGGCAGTTGATTGCATCGTGCAACTCAAGTCGATTGTTTCATTTTGATTTGGCACATAATCTTCCGTAGATTTGTCTTTTCATAAACTGTGACGGGTTTTAAGTTTGTTCAGTCTCTTGCTTTTGGATACCGACAAGCCGTACGAACCGTACTACGTTTTAGTTCCTCCTGTTTCTAATTAGATTATGATTCAGGAATTCAAGTTTTTGTAAGTGTCTGAAAATGCACACTCAATACTTTGTGCCAAATATGTGGTTCTTTCAGATCTCTGATCTGTGCAATCTTTGTCTGCGTCAACCAGGTGTTCCATTAGGTTAATTTTATTTCCGCTGTGTTGTGTGTGATATGCATTGAAGCAGGAAAACAGCAGTCTGAAACTCCCAAGAATAAACCGTGCTGCTGTACAATACTTTAGCCTTCTGGAAGCGCTTTGCATGTGTAGGAAGGGGAATCTGAACCAAAGCGTGATGTCATAGGTCAAAGTACGAAACACCTGGGTGATGAGGCAGTTGTGTTTGCTGCCCCAAGTTCAAATCAAAGACGATGTTGACGTAGTGCATAGTTGCTCTGGTGGTGGTGGTGGTGGTGGTGTGTTCGTCACTCAAAAATCGTCACAATTAGTCAGCAGACGTTGCTCCAGACCTGGTGATATCTAGGTCAGTGTGAATACAGCAGTAACTTGCTGTGAGCATTCCTTTCATTGCAATATTTTTGCGAGTGTTTCTTGGGAGTGGAGCATGGACCACATGGAAAGAGACAAAGACCTCGGGCAAGCCAAGATTATTGAGTCTTTTTGTCCTGGAGCATCACCTAGACAGTTAGAGAATGCACGTTGAAGTCCTACATAGGAAAGATGTGCAGCTGTATACAATAATATGGTGCACATTAGGTTGTGCATGGCCTGCCGATGTATGGCCTTCTCAGAGGATATGAGCATGTTTGTGCTTTGCTGAGAGGCCTTGCATAAGGTCAACTTTCAGGACCTGTCCGCTCATGTGTCTCATTGTGTGAATTGTCATGTCTGCTCTCCCTTACCTACAATCGGAGAAAGGTTCGATTGGAGGCAGGTAGAACATCTTGCTTTGCCTTATACGTTAGATTCGTGCACGTGGAAGAGTTTAGTACGACGAAAACCTTAGGTTCTCATATTTGTGACCTACTTAGCTGACTCTAGACATGCATTTACTGTTCACCCTTTAATTATGTATAGTTATATAAAACTAGTACGTATTGTGGAGATGAACTAGATCAGTGCTGGTAGTGCAAGTTTTACAGCATTGTCTGCACATGACTTTTTGTATGATACATTTCTTAAGTTTTCACCTTAATATTGAAGCATTGGTTCAATTTCTAGTGAGGGTGCACTTCCGTTTACACATAACTTTTCATGACGGCAGTGCCACGGCTTTGTTAATAAATGATTTAGCTTTTCCCAGTTTGTAAGGGTTGTTCCCTTTTTCTAGTATAAAGATGAAATGAAAGTTCGTCTTTTCATATAATGGAAAGTGATGTGGCATGGCATATGTCACAAATCTTTTAGAATTTTAATTGTGATAGCTCTAGGTCAATTGCAGCAGAGCTTACATCGTTGAATTCTATCGGCAGTCTTTGAGGCTTCGCTTGTACATACTTATGGATGTAGATTTCATGTCAATGTTCAGTTCTTTCAGGAGGTAACAGCCCAACAAACACTACATGTCTGTAAAGATTTGACTTAGTGACATGAACCCAGATGTACCCAGATCATGTACGTAGCATGTAGGGAGGTTAGTGGTGTTGCAATGTGTTAATTCAAAACTGATTCCCAGTATCTCTGCATCTCCATAATGTTTTCTTCTCATTACTCCACATGCATTCAACAATCAGTGCATTGCAAAGGTTGTGGGTCACCAGTTTTTTGATACTAGGGAAAGTGATATAAGTTGTTGAATGCACACTGTCCATCTGGGCCATCATTCACTGCAACTGATTTAAGCAGTTGGCTGTCTTGTGTCAACAACCTTGCCAAATGTCTTTAGCTTCTATGCTTTAAAAGTGATGTGAAAAACTACACAAAACTTTGAATCCACAATATTTACCTGAACTAATAATATCAATTATGCAATTAAACATGGTTTCAATTCTATACCCATTTGTATTATGTAGGTGTTCCTTTTAAAAAGTCTTTTAGAGACATATAATAGAAACATATGATGCATTTAATTTTTAGAATGAATATTTTAGATCAATGGTTAAGAATTTATATTAGATGATTACAAGAAATGGTCTCTTTGATATATATATATATATATATATATATATATATATGTATACATACATACATAAATACATAGGCTATTGCTAACATCACCACAATCCACCACCCACTTGACATAATTATTTAATTTTATTTAATCGAATCAGTTTTAAAATAAAAATAGTTATAAATTTTAACTATTTTTAATTTTATTCCAAGGCTTTACTCATAGAGATCACCACACAGGCACTATCCCTTGACTCCACCCACTGACCAATCAACAAGACCATTGCAAGGAGAGTTGTTGCCTCTCCTATCCCCTCCCCTCTCCTCCCCCTTTGCAATTATTTTAGGTATTAATCAGGTTTTAGCAATATTAATTGAGAATTTAGCATTAATAAAATTTTATATATATATATATGTAATTTATAAAATCTTCAATCTTGAATTTATTTTAATTAAATATAATCTTAAAAATACTATTATATTTTTTAAAAAATAAAGTATCCTAAAATATGTTTTAAATAATACAACTTTATTTTATTTGAAAGAAAAAAAATATGTATATATGTAAACAATCTATATAAAAAACAATACAACGTTAAGAAATTGTAACTTCTTGATAATTAATTTTATAAAAGTCTAAAATTATATAAAAAAAAGTGTAAATATAAGTAAATATATATGTTGTTTAATTTGTGTATTAATTTCAATTTTACAGCTTTCATATACAAAGAAATTTAATACTATTAATTCAAATATTGAAGAAAAATAATTAAAAATAATAATTTATGTTTATATAATGGGGTTAAACAAAATTAAGAAGTTGTTAAACCATGTACTTGTTACCATAGAAAATAAAATTATATGTATTAAATAAAATTTGGAAAATTATTATTTTAAAAATTCAATTCAATTTAATTCCATTAAAAACTTTGGGCAGTAATTTATGTTTTATGCATGTAAAAAGAGAGAAAATACAATTTTTTTGAATATAATATTGAAAATAATCCGTAAAGAATATACATCAAATATTACATGTACATATGAAACATTAATATACTTTTTGTATATAATCCCTTGTCTCTATTACAACACCAAAAAAATAAAGATTTAACATGATACTTACACACATTGTTTTATTTTAAGTCATCAATTACACTTAAAGTACTATTTATTACATCATGTTTTACAAAAACGATAGGATTTTTAATGACTTCTTTGTTTTATCACAATATTTACAAAAACATGAAATGAATCGCTTTTTCCAGTAAGTCTGTATTCAAATTCCGTACTCCTGGAAATGTGTTGACTGATAATTGACAATATAGTTTGTGACTTGGAATATTCTTATTCTACACCTCTTGATTCATTTCTTGCAAGTGTTATTTGTGTCACAAGTATAAGCACCAAAACATTATGCTGCATGTATCTTGCTACATCTTGGTAATTCTTCATTTATTTTCAATCTCCCTCCGCAAATTTTTGGCTTAGACATAAGATCAATGAAAGTGCTAAAGATACAAAGGCATTTGAGGAAATATTTTAAGCAATGTTTACGCCACGTACCCCGGCTGTGTCAAAAATAAATGTTTACGCCACAATACCAGGGTCACCAAACCTGACGCTGCATAAATGCTTCGAAACCTGTGAAAGACGGCTAATCAATGAATTAAGGGCTCTATGTACCGTTCCATAAATTGAGTGATAATGAGTCAAATAAGGATGACCTGCGACCAACCAATACGTATAATAAGCATATTGTAAGAGCAATCTATGATTCAAAACTTCAGCAAAAGCCATGGCACGCGTAGCATTAATAGCACAGCCCAAAGAACCAGGATCTAAAGATCCCACGCGAAGCATTACATCTTCGAATAAATATGTAATATCACTTAACTAAATACACCATGGATCAAAATTGGCCATCAAACAAATTCCAGATCCAATACTCCTCCAGCAGGAGATATTAAGCATGAAATTCCGTGAGTTGTACAATAAGCAACATTGGACTTTGATCATCCTAAGTGCAAGGACTCTGTGTAAAAGATATTGTAAGGTGCCAAACCAAGGCACTCCCTATTTAAAGATCCAGGGAAGGGATGCAAATAGTTCCCAGTTTGAATAGCTTGTATTCTTCAACCAGTATTCTATTCCTAAAAGAAAGGTCGAGTAACTGGGACAGTGGTCACTGCCTTGATTCAGTTCTGATCTTCATCTTCAAGGTCTTCATTTTCCTCAGGTATATCCATGGATCGACGGGACATCAATCTAACATACCCTCTGCCACCAAACATGGGCCTCATGTAAGCATCATCAAATTTCCTCCATACATAATGGATGGTTGATCTTGGTGCTGTAAGCAGCATGCCTATTGATTGTGGACGAGGAAGGCCATGTAGAATTTGGCTTATTACAGTTCGATCATTTGTTCCGTTTCCATCATGCTCTGTATCCATGAGGAGTGGCATATGGAAGTCAACATCAAGAGATACTTTTGGAGAGAGACCAGCTGAATCACCGTAGTTTGATCTTAAATGTGGCGGAAGTAACCAAGATATAAGAGGCTTGGTTGCAGTGCCGAACACCTGCATAAAATATCCATAGAATCAGTAATATGGTCATGATGAGGTGATAGAAAAGCTGCAGAATGGACAGTAACATTTGAATGAAGGCAGTTATGACTCAATCACATTATGAAAACGTATTTTGTCACTTACAATAGTGCTGAAGAGGACAATATTGATAGTAGTGACCATCGACGTAGCTTGTTTTGAAGTCTTGGCATCACCACCCTGAGTGAACTGCAGTAGTGAAAACCTCAGTTAATACATCAACGCCTCAGAGTAAGTGCGAAGTTCTCCACATCAGTTAGATAAGCTTGTGATTAATGTTCAAACATTCCATAATTTGATTAAGAATGAGTCTTAATGGTTCGAGTGAAAATAAGTCACCTGATTGAACGCCAGAGCAATTGAGACAGCTCCTCTCATTAGTCCAGCCCACCAGATGATGATCTGCCAAAATCATAACATCCTATCAAACCAAACAGCAGCTACACCCGAAATTTTCCTGGTACACTACATTTGTTGCAATCATGGCAATAATTCTTAGCATTGCATCCCCAGAAGCTAAGTTTTCTCGATCTTTCTTTCGTTAAGAGCGACAACTTTATTAAGTATGGGCCAGTTCTAGAACCTCAAGTAAGTTACTTTGAATGTAACAAGCATTAAAAACTAAAATTCAATCCAGGTAATGAAGACATGAGAAAATGGCTGGAAAGGAACCATTTGACGAAGATTAATCTTGGCTCCTGGAGACTTTGTGCTGTAGTTGGACAGAGCAGAGAGAGGGAACACAAATGCGGCCCTCCCTAACAGGATCAGGCACATCAAACTACCAAAGAGCCCCGCAGATTCCTTGAAACTGTCCACCACAAAACTTCTCCACATTAATTTCGTTATAAAAAATAAACGAAGATGAATGAGATTCTAACACTTTTCAAAAAAGAATTAGAATGAGAGCCGAAGACGAAGGATTCTTATAAATATCATAAGATGTTGCTAAAAGGATAACTTTAACTTGCTGAACTCAAGGTACGTATTCCCCAATTCAAAAGGCACAGCAACTGAATTTAAATTTCGACTCCCACAACCGAACGAATAAAAGCAGTAAGAGCTTAAGATCCATCGAGAATAATATTTGAACTCATTACCTGGATTGCGTCGTCTTCCATTTGTCTAAATCCAGCGCATCCATTCCAACATAGAGAAATATGAACGTCTCTGCGATGAATGACATCGTTGCAAAGGAATGTCTGTGAATCACCAAAGTGCATTAATGTCACGTTGATGACAAGCATCAGTATCATAACTCCAACCTCCAAGAAATTACGCATCAGTCTCAAGAATATTTGATGTTGCCATTCGTTCGCTAGTATAGAACATCGAAGCTAAGAGGCATGAAGGAACGTACCTGGTTGTGGTTCGAGAATTTTCCGTGACATTATGCCAAGTGTAATGAGACATTACAATGCCACAAAAGAACACTGAGAGTATTCCACTCAAGTAGAAAAGCTGCACCAATGACGACACGCGAAAGTAAAATTTCTGAAAATTTCAGATTTACAAGTTGTAACAATCCAAATCGTATGCTCATTTCCTCATCGATCTATTTGAAAAATTCCAGGAACAGATAATTGGACGAACAATCCACATAGAAGGTCAAACTGACCTCAGCCAAGATGTAAGATAAATACGCCATCAATATCATAATTGCTATCTCTCGATCCGTGGAATGTCTGTACTTCATCAAAAACAATCCAAAGTGGATCAGAAAAAGCTAAAGCAGGAGGGCACCCTAACAAGAAAAGATCTAAATCAGGACACGAACAACTTGGTGTACATATACATGCAAATGAAACCAGACTCGACAGTATGTGCAGGCATCTCCAAAAAAAAGTTTTACCTGCCGAAGTACATAGTCTTGATGATATATGCGCTGATTAGACCCGACTGCAATCATAGTAACAAATCGATTAATTGGCAAGCTTCAAGGAGACTTAACCATACTAATAATACATCACACTATGTACATAGTAATCCCAAATCAGTTAAAGCACGCTAAACGAAACAGATACAATTTGCAAAAGTCCGAGCGACTATTGATCAAGTACTCAAAGCGCAACATATAGACAATGGAACACAATTTTCAGCATTATATTTAGTTTGCCGCATGTTCATTTATAAAGAGCAATATGATTACATGTAGGCCTTACCCGTTATATCTAACGATTAATCATTGAGACCCTTTCCACTTCGATAACCACAAAATGTTTTCAAGCCCTTGCCAAACCTCATAATATTTCTTAGAATAGACATGAATTATGTTCATCAGGCCCTGAAAGCAAAAACCTCGCCAACAAGATAAGGTCGAGCTGGTAAGCAATAGAAGCTTACTGCAATTCCAAGGATGCAACTCGAGGAGAATAAATACAAAAAATTGCAACCAATTTGTAGATCCTCCAAGGGTGAAAATCTGTCAAAGTTGTACGATTGAACAGCCCGAAATAGAACCACAGAAGTAGCATCATTGACTACTCCTTCTCCAAACACCAAACTGTAAAGCAGAGGGGTCTCATCCTGATTGAGCACCTGCAAAGACAAGCACCACAAAGTGAACAATTGACAAAAAAAAATCATTAAAGAAGTATCCAATCATTTCCCTGAACCATCCAATTCAGGTACCATGAATCTCATAGTCATTTCTTGTTTTCGAAATTCAGAAGAGCCTAGATTAACGGCAAGTAAGAAATTTGAGTTAAAACGAACTTTAGTGAGGACTTCAGAAACCTTAAAACTAAACCTAGGAGTTAAGCCACCACATTGAATACATTAAAAATCTGAGCACGTAATATATCTCCACATGTGTCATTGTAAATCAAACTCGAACGGTGATCAGCTGAGATAAACCAAGGCACATGTTGATTAGACATTTGTTTAGACCAAGCCTAAAAGAAATTAAGATGTGCGCTTTCAGGTACGAATTACTCATCAAAGAAATTCGAAAAAATATATATTTCACGTATTCCTAAGCAATTAGCATAAATTGACACTCTGTCTTATACACTCCAGACAAGGGATCAGTTTACAATGTGAGCCAAGTCGACCAAGTGCACATGACCAAAATTCAACAAAACTGCACTTTACTGCTAATCGTTTTTACTGTAGGAAAATAAACAGTGGTTTCAAAAGATTAGAATAGCGTCGTATGAATTGTACCTGCAACGTGCAGACGGAATCGGTAGCAGAAAAAATTACTCCAATAGCTGTCATTCCAATAAACAGATTCAAAGAAAGTCGACATTGCAATATGGAGGTATTCCAAAATGAGTAGATTTCAAGACAAATACAAGGTACAGTAAATGTATAAATGGTAAACAGGACATGCCATATATTTAGAACATTACATGGCACATTGCGCCTAATGGATGCATCTGATATAAGCAACAGATAGGTCAGTGTGGTGTTGAGATCACACCGAGAATATCCCGCATGGACAGGTTGAGTCCCAGCTTGGGAAACAAATACCAACTTCCTGCAATGAATGAAGACCATTAAATAAGTAGAAAATCATCGTTTCCAAATTCTTCAGAGCAGGTTGTATCCAAATCTCAGAACTCATGGTACCTCTACAAAGAATTATCATTCACACCTGTTGAAATAACTGCGAAAGAAATGAAGACTCCGATGACTCCGAATAACATGATAGCAATAAAATTCCGAAAGAACTCCTTCTTCTTCACCTGGAACCTGAGAAACAACCATATTCGAGTCATCACCGGACTGCAATCACAGAGCGCTAAAATCATCAAGTCTCATATCAGTGAATACAGGATCTTACTTGAACAATGCCGTCCAGAAGTCTTCAATACAAGATCAACAATAGAAGATGAAGTTATTATGCTCTATTGTAGGCTCTAAAGGGGCAAAAAGCAAGTCAGTGTGATTAATGCTAACGTACCCGGCATTGAAAATGATAGGGGGAAGAAGATATATGAAGAAGAGCTCCTCATCGAACTTCAGAACATGAGAACTCTGACCATTACTTGAAATTAAAACAACAACTCCTGTGCAAAGTCCCTACACGATCCAACTATAAAATGTCAGATTCAATCCTCTTGTCTGTGATATACCTTCATAACTGCAATTTATGAAGAACGCTACTGACCATAAAATAAGTCAATAATATTTTAGTGCATTCATACTTCCTCAAATCGAAATTGAAGAAATGGACTAAAACACAAAGAATTTTAACCAATCACACCTGTATTAGAATCCCACCAGCTTTCCAAGGACGAGTTCTTGAATTGAATATCAAAACTCACCAGAAGAAGAGCAGTGATAGACTCATTCATCCACCGATTTTCCTCCAAAAGGTGGCCAAACACAATGCACGCACATAGTAAAAATACAAAGAGACAGATTGAAACCACATGCATGTGATCGTCTCTGAGATCTGGGGTTTTGAGTAACAAAGAATGAGCAACGCCCAGTACATCATTGGTCACCATTTTCCACGTTCCTGAAACTCCTGATCCCTAATTCTTGATTCGAACTACTGTCCTCCAAGTCCTTCCAAACACCACCTCCAAGAATAAAGCTATGTGATATATCTTCTCATGACAATCACTTAACATATAGACGTCCAAGGCAGGAAGTGCAGTCCAATTCTTCCATGTAATTAAACTGCTCGAGTTCTTTCACCCACCGAGCACGAGTTCAGCAAACCGCTTACGCACTGCAGGTGGAGAAACACAACCGACGTGAAAACCAACTGCCTGGGAGCTTCTAACGCCAACATTCGCATCCGCCTGGCTGTTTGCACCTCATGAACACTACAGGGTATCCGAATCACCCTGAAACTTGCCTACCGATTTCAATCAATTCCTTGGTCCATAGAACTCTAATCCTCGTGAAGAAAGAATCGGCTGTAAGATGAAATTCACACACAGCCTGCCTCTACCCTACCTAAGGAACCAATGATCAAGTTACTCCTTGTGCATTATACATTTCTTTTTATTATAAAAATTGTTTTAAAAAATATACCTCAAGAAGTGTTATACTTCGAAACTAACTTCTGCATGCATCGATGCTTCAAGACCACTACGAACCCTCCCTCCAGGACCTATCAGAATACGATTCAACTCGATTGCATAAAAATTCTCAGCTGATCGAACTATCAAAAAAAAGAAATTATCCCGCAGCATCGTCTTGAACCCCTAACTCCATCAAGTCTCACGAATCCAAACTATTCCAACGTAAAATGTCCTCTGAAATCACTTACCATCGCACTTTAGGATCGTCAAACACCAATATACTTTACTGACAGTACTTTATTGACTAAGGACCATAAAACTTTAGTCCCTAAGAGCAATACAATCCAGGCTACACTAATCCAACGTACAAGCTCACACCATCGTCCAATGTCGAACAACCCTAAAGCTACTGAGACCTCGAAACCATAGCGACGCAATCAAAAAACCCAGGAATCCGACCGTCGTCGTCCTGTTCTGCTTCAGCTCGCTCGGCCATGAGCGCATCACGTCACACGCTGTCAGTGCACTGCCGCTCATTTGTTCAGCGGGAGGCCATTGAGAGCGTCTGACTTGTTCCTGGATCCCTCCACTCACGGTCACCTATTTCCGTCCCCGATGGTGACACGTCAACTGGGTCCACCAATTGGCCTAGCTGGACCGGCGGCTGCCGAATGATTAACTGCCAGGTGGAGTTTGCGCCTTCCCCAACTCTGTCAGAGGACATGGTCTTTCACGAGATCAGATGAATCTTGACGTGGCGACCAAAGCGCGAAAAGTGGCTCTGCTACGTGGTGAAATGTTGGAGTACCTGTGCCAGCGCCTTCGAGCCCCGATTTCCAAGTGAAAACCCGTTTGAAGGTAATAGCTAAGAGCTTCCACAATAAATGGGTTTAAAATATACATAGACAGATATGCATATCTGTTTCTAAAAAAAATAAATCTTAGTAACTCACCCACAGTTTTAAAAACTTCAATTCCAGACTCACAGCCGTAAAGATCCACATACAAATTGACAGGCACTCTCAGCTCGATGATTTCTCAATCCAGCGAGTATGTTTTTTAAAGTCTACAAATGGGATTCATGTGACCTGTGCCTTGTTAGATCACGACCCCTGGGAAGAAAACCTATTTAAAAGTGAAAAGGTCTGCTCGAAAGTGGAAGCCCTCCTTTAAAGTATTAGAACTCAGGTCCTTTTCTTGACAGGCCGCATTGAAGTCCCAAGTCCATCTAAACCGCACGTGGCAGTTCAGGATACTTGCGTCCATGTGATGAAGACTCCATAAGGTAACATTCCATGCCAAAAGGTACGTTCTGGAACGAGAAAGTAGTTCATTGTCTTTCTTGATGATGACCATCGCTGGTATGTCCCTCTGCCACATGGATTCGACAGTGACCCTTGGATGACAAATAGAAGATGAACGTTTCTATCCATCCTTCGTTTTCGTTCGGGGATGGATACAAAAGTACTTTTTTTAGGTCTGCAATGTTTACTGAATAATGTTAATGTCTAGTCAAGTGGCTTTTGACTAATTGCTTTCAATAATGAAAATCATCATTTAGGTGTGTAGCTATATATATATATATATATATGAACTAGTGGTTAAATCATGGTTGGTCAATTTTTTTATATAGATAGATATGGATGCATGCATACATGCATCCATGTGCACATTAGGCACATTACTTTGCTCTGAAAATGACTTAGGGGTAATTCTAAAGCAACTTGTTGATGTGTAATGATATATGATATTAAAAAAAACCATGATGTAACAAAGTATTCGTGAACATATTTTTATTGATACTACTAAAAAATGAACAAAACATTAAAAAGACTACACACTTACATGTGAAATAAAAACAATAAACATAAATGAATAAAAAAAATACACCTAATTGTAAAAAATGCAATAAAAAAATTTAAAAAATTTAAAAAGAGCATGAAATGCAACTATTCAATTTTTTTGGTTTTTAATTTTTCATATTTATTGTGGTGTAATTTTAATGATTTATATTTACATACATATTCATAGCAAAATTTACAAATCTTTAATAGATATTTATCATTTTTGGCTTTTCACCAATACATTCAAAAATATCCATAATAAATCTTTCTCAGTCTTCTCTTCTCAAATAACATGAGATATTTAAAAAATAAATCGTTTCTCAATTTCCATATATATATATATATATATATATACATGATATGATAGATCTTTTTTTGATGTTGATAATAAAATATTATATTACAAAATTATATATGTGTAATTTTATTAATAAAAAAAATATTTCTTACTAAAAATTTAAATTTTATAGATTACAAATATATATATTTTACAATACTCAATTGATGAAATGTTTAAAGAAATAATAAAAATTAAATCCATTAGTAAATTGCATATTCATTAATGATTTAACTTGTTTTGATCACCATGATATATGTATATATAAAGGCATATATATAAATATATTAATGGTTAAATAAAGTGAATTTTTTGTTAGAAAATTTTAAATAAATAATCTTGAAATAAATAATTGTTAGACTTTTGCAAACAAATGTTGTAAATTTTACCAATATTTTATAAAATATTTGTTTTTAATACTTAATAAGGAAAAATTAAATTAAATTAAAGAAAAGATAAGATATATTATTAATAATATATTTCTTGAGAATTATAAAATATAGATTATATTTATAGATTTTTAAAATATGCTATGTGGCTGTAAAATACTTCTTAGAATATTTTTATTTTTAGGTTTTTTAATAGAAGCAATACATAATTTAGATGATTATTCTACAAGAATAGCTTAGAAAGAGTTAGAAAGGTGTTACAAAAGCAATACATACTTTAGAATAATTTTATGGTCTTTAGAAAGCTACCACATTGTCTTGATATATAGTATGTATAGAGGCAAGACTAGAGTCATTCTTAGTGTTGTTAATGTTGTTCTTGTATTCAAATATTTAGTCAATATATATATATATATATATATATATATATATAATATAGATATTTTTTATTATTGAAAAATAAGACATTTTTTGAACAACTTGGAGGTATTTTTAGGATTTTTATAATTTGTATAAAAATGTAATGTAAATCTCATATTAACTAATAAAGTATGAATTTTGTAACAAAATAATTGATTTGTGTTTGCATACACATTACAATTTGGGCAAATAAAATTTCAAAACAAGTAAAAAAAGTATTGTACTTATTTTTTTTTATTATTCACTAATCTACAACATGCTGTAAAAAAATGTTGCTAAACTTGCATAATCATCAAACATTGAGTCACGCAATTGTTTTTGCTATCAAATGAAATAATTAAATTTTTAAGTTTTAATCTAATATTTGTATGACGATACTTTAATACTTCTATGATCTTATAAAAAGATTTTTTACTAATTAAGATATAAAATTGGATGTTAAAAATATATAATTAAAATTAAAAGATACACAAATTGATAGTATATCATTATTATTACTATTATTCTTATTTCTTACAACACAAGAAAAACTTGACAATGACATGAATAATTTTGTCTAAATTATAGAAAATCAAAATATACACTTAAGTATTATGTAAACAAGATTTAAAATTACAATTAAAAAAAACATTATTATAAAAAAATAAATATGTCAAAAAATAAGTTTGTTTACCTAAACTAGAAATTGTAGATGGATTATTGTATAATATTATTTTGCAAAGATCTTATGTTATCTGCCAAAACCTTAGCTTTTTAATTATTGCAAGTTTTTTTGTTATCTAAAGACTCTACACTTTCTACTTGTACTTTGTTGAGTTTTAGTACCTCTGTTTTATTTCTTCATCAGTATTATGAAATATTGTCAGTATACAAAGTTAAACATATATATGTAAAGGGTTTTGCAATGTTTTTATTAATATGTTTCTTGATCTTTACAAATATGTGTGGATTATTATAAATTTAAGACATTGTGTTCATTTCATACAAATTGAGTAGAATTTTTAAAATTTCATTCTAAAAAATGAGTCTTAGATAGATTTTTAGAAGGTATAAACTATTGTTAAGGAAAAAGTATAGATTTTGTTTTTTGTGATATTTGATATTTTATGTTATTTTAAAGTTTCTAAAAAATATTTTTTAAAATAATTCTTCTAGATTTTTGTTCTACTTATAAAAGTTATATGTGAAGAAAAATTGGGATAGAATAAAGATGCACAAGGAACATTCAATGATTTAAAAAAAATATATATTTTTTTTAAAGTTTTTTTTATCACAACTTCTATTTTATGTTGTCAAATTCATTTCAAGTTTTTTCCTTTCTTTTCTTTTCTTTTGAATAATTTTTTGATTACTTTTAATTTTATTATAAATAGATGGAAACTATAGATTTTAAATAACCTTTTTTATAGCTTGCACATATAGAAGGATAAATAAAGCCATCTTTAGTTTTATCAAAGTTTCTTTTTGTATTTTAGTCATATTTCAAGACTGTATTATTTCTTAGTATTTAGTTTAGACATTAAAGTTTTTTTTTTTTTAATTTTTTAATATTTATTTTCTTTTGATTTTATGCTTATATTTCTTCATTTCTTTAGTTTTATCTTTTTAAGTGATGCTTAAGCATATTTATTTCTTACAATTTTGTCAAGAGTTATGTCCTTAATATTAATTTATAATAATTTAGACTCAATATATATATATATATATATATATATATATATATATATATATATATATATATATAAACATAAAAATATAAAATAAAACAAACTCTACTTTATCAATATAAAAAAACTGTTATTATTATAAAAAAATATAATAATAATAATAATTGTAACACTATAATTCCTTTTATGAAATCAAATTACAAACAATATAAGTAAACTAAGCAGTAAACATAATATTTGAAATATTTTTGTTTAAAATTTTAACAATAAAACATGTAATGAATCTGTTATATTAAATAAATAAAATTTTCAAATATAAATTTGAAAAACATAAAATAAAGTAGTTATTTTTATCCAAAAAATTAATTCAGCTCGTCGAAATATTTAAAGATTCATTAATTAAGAAATGACTTCAAGATTAAAGATTCTAGAAACACCAATGTTATTTTATTTTGATTGGAGCAATTTTAAGATGGTATTTAAATTTTGAACATACACACACACACGCACACATATATATATATATATATATATATATATGTATTTTGAAATTTTTATTCTATTATAAACATATTAGAAAAAATATTCATTTAAAGAAAGTGTTAACCAATATTACCACATAAGTATAAAAACATTACAAAGTGTAAATGAAATTTTTTATTTCTTTTAAACATCACAAAATATTGTATATTAAAGTGACTTAATCTTGTATAATCATTACTTTGTAAATAAATATATGTTATTCTATGCAATAATGTTATATACATATATCTACATATATATATATATATATATATACATACTTGTTTAATTTTTTTTTAAAAATAATTTTCTAAAACATTTCAACAATTTTACTAAGTTTGGTTTTATATGTCAATTTATAATTTAAAAATCCATTATTTATTTAAAAATTATTTTATTTTAGCTTATTAATATTTTTAGATTATATATATATATATATATATATGTATATATATATATTTATACATTTTGTCAATGTGTATCCATCTATCAAGACACTTAAAGCTAAGTTGATAAAGAAAGTATATCTACACACAGTTGTAATTGTATCAAATAGAAATAAGATGTACAATGTGCAAATGTTGAAATTATATCATAATTTTGCACTTAAGTATATCTGATAATTTACACTTTAAATTTCAATGATAATGAAACAATCTCATATACAAGAATTTTGACACTATTTATTTACTTATTTATTTATTTTAAGAAGATGAAAACATTATTGTAATCCAAAGAATTTTATATCATTGTTGGCAAGAAATATATCTGGAGCATTTTAGTGCATGAGTTGTGATGAAAAATAATATTCTTTGTGTATCAAACACTAATAAGTGCTAAGCATAAAGTGCTATACTATTTATGGTCCATAATAAAAAGAGAGTTTCATTATACAAATGTTGAATTGATTTTAACATATAGTTTTTAAAAGTAAATTATTTTAACATATATTAAGTAAATATATTCTTGGGGACTAAATATAGAAATAAATAAATTATAATCGTGAGTTTATTTATTTTATGTAAAAGAAAATAAAAAACTTAAATTTATAATTGATTCAAAATATCCTATTAAAGGCATCTATCAAATATATGTATGTATGTATTTTAAGTTTTAGAAATTAATAGAAAATACTTGATTTCAATTATTAAGTTATATTAACTTTAATTAATTTCATAATTTTCATTCCGAATCGTTGAAAATTAAAACCCTAAAACATAAGTACGATGGACGATGACGCGAAGGCCAAGTCCAGCCACGTCGATACTAATGGACGCCGGACGGTAGGCGGACGAAATCTTTATGTCGGTGGCCGCCCGTCGGAGCATGAGGATCACAACCCTCAACATACGATCGCACGCTGCGAAAAATCAGCTTCCGATTTCAGGAAATTGGTGGCAATCCATCGCTGCTCACTGGAGAAAACGATCCCTAACCAGCGATTGATGACAAACTGCGGCTCGATTCTCGGCGACATAAGCTAAATTGTTTCACAATCATGCCCGATTGCCTGATCGAAACGATTCCAAGCCCAGCTTACTAGTCTTGTATCTCGGTTTCAAAATCAAGGTAGATCTTGCAAGGGTCCACTAACTCGAGAATCATGACACCAACACACGATCTTTTTAACTCAATTGAGCGATCCTCTCTGCTTTCGAGATTGTGAAGGAGTCCACTGTAGTTTACAATATTTAAACCATTACTGTCTCTGCAGTGTATGAACAATAAAGTTGGACTGACTCTTGTAGGGAATCTTTCACGCAGGACTCGCTCGAAAGAATTTGAGTCTAATGCCGGCCTGACAAGTGCATGATTGCTGTACGTCTGGTGTTATCCAAAAGACATCCGGTCCTCACTATGCGTCAGATTAGGGACGGACTAGTACAAATGATTCAAAAAGTTTGAGTGCCCATAGATATGCACCAACTCAACCCATAGATACTACTGTTAGGTCTTGTTTATTTAACTTGTATGAAAAGCAGAGGGTTTAAATATTGCAAGAATCATGACGTAAGTCAAGAAACATATCCGCTAATCTGCGTGCTCACTTAATATTATAGGCATCAATGGAGTTGAAAGAAAATGCAAATCGAGTGGGTGTTGCTGACGCCTGAAATATGCATTCAGGTTAAAGCTTGAATGTGAATGTCTTACCAAGGCTACTACTACTGGATATTTACCACACTCTGGCTTTGCAATTTTGAGCCTCTCTGGAGCAATTGTGAGAGAGTCGATGACGTTGCCATGATATCAATAGAACTTTTTCTCACAAAACTAGATCTCCTCAGCGATGTGGTTGATGAGCCTGAATTGTGAAGATCCATTCATAGATCTGGCAATATATTCTATGCCTTGAATTTGCACTTGCTACCAGCAATACTGCCTCATCTAATTTTCTTCCAACTCTAAGCGAGTTCGACAATACTGGCCATGGTTTCCTGTGTAGAGCTTGAGTTTTCCGTTTAGCATGTGGATAATGTTGATGCACACATTATATAGGAACCCTGGAAATGGGACCCAACCACTAACATTCACACATTTGTCTCTTCCAATCCCCACAAAACCCCAACTGACTTATAGTAGCATTCTTGGACAGAGCTCTTGCCAATGCTATCCTCATTCGATACCCTCTAGAAAAAACCATATCTTCTTTGATGAAATTTCTAGGTACATCCCAGACCATGAGAAATATGTGCATCTTGCATCTCAGCTCTTGTGGGATCCGTCAGATTCAGTCTCTCACATGTTCTCTTCAAATGCTCCCCTCTGACATCATCCTATAAATAGTACCCAGATTCCCTTGTCAGACTGCTAACATGACCATTATCAAGAAAATGCTGCCATGCACGTGACCAGAAATAATCAAACTGAAAGATAGTCAAAATTGAAGAAAAACATCACCAGGTGCTTCTGCTTAAAACAGTTGTATCACACTCCCTTAATCAGCAAGCAATTTCTATTCCAGTCCCTCTTTAACAACATTCACTACAGCCCCTTTTTAGTGCATTAGTTTCTAAACCCAGTAGAACTGCCTATTAAAGAGCTAGTATTGTTACTGTTCAATGTTGATTCCAGGTTGTTTGCAAATGAAATAATTATTTCTGGCTTTCCTCTGTTGTGAGCTTTCCTAAATTATGGAAACCAACATACAAGCACCAAACTGTCTGTGTGTCTATATTAAATGTCAAATAAAGGGTTAGGAGTAAATGTTAAGTAAAACTAATTTGGTTAGTCATAAATACCAGCAAGGCATCCTGACATTCCAAGACAGGGTTAACCCCAAAGGCCAACAGCACAGCTGAATTTGGTAGCTGCCCTTCAATATCTTAAAAATTTAGTAAATTATGAACGAACACCTCATTCCTGAAAGACGACAGATCCGATCCCAACCCCCATACGAAATGAAAGAACAGAAAACCAACTGCCGCCTGTACCCAATAACACCTCACCACCATCGTCCAGAAGAATACGCGAAATGAACCTGGATTATGACGAAATGTCCAACTACTCCATCATCTCTATTCAAAACCTCAACCGGGACACTACAAACTTTCTATTCCTCCGTAAAGAAATTCTCTCAACAACTCTTCCTTCACATCCAAAGACATTTCTCAAAGCACAACAAATATTCAATAAATTCCTGGCTTACAAGTAAGAATCGAGATGGCTGTAAGCATGCATGCAGCAAGGAAATGACAACTAAGGGAGAAAAAGAGTTTCAATAAATCAGCAATTGGAAATGAAAAGACCACGATGATCTCGAACACAACTTACCAATTGTTACTATTGATCCCTAACGAGACAATAGACTCTTTTGCCCGTACCTTACAGAAAACTTTCCCTACACGGAGCTTTAAGCTGTGAGCACCCGTCACTTCTCAAAAGAGCCTGGAACTTTCGTTTCCATCTCTAGAAACTTTTTATATTATTATTATTTAATCGACTCTGCCATTAGTTTTATTCCTTTTTATTTGTGAGAGGCTTTATCCTTAAGTGACTGAGGTCTACTTTAGAGTGTTTATGGTTGGGAAAGGAAAAGGTACAGCAAGAAGGTTCAAACGCGTCTCTGAATCTGCCACCTATGTTTTGAACATTAGTGTAACACAAAAAAACAACGGGAAGGTCCAGGAGTGACACCCAGAGTCGTGTGAGCTTCACATTACAAAACTACTTTCTGTCATTCATTTACAACAAGCTTATGCGCCTAAAACTCAACTTCATGATCTACCCACATACTACCAAATATACAAATGTTTCTGAACATAATATGGAGATAACGTACTTATTATGATTCTGAATTCGTCCATGACATTAAAATTCTGTGGCTCTTTTGATTGCAGTAAAAAAAAAACGCACCTAGTCATGGAAAGAGTCTTTCCAGCTGTACAGGTTTTAATAAGTATTTCAATTGCCGATTAGACGCTACAAGAATTGCAGTGACGAACGCAGGAGTAGCAAGAATGATCATGATAATGTGTTCCCAAATTTTAGTTGCAAGGGGTGAGGTACAACATGATGACTTTATTTTGAAAGTCTAATTATCCACTGCTGTGATGAGAGCTCTATATGAAGAGCCCTTGTACCATGAACTCGTGAGCATTAATCTCAATGCTCTTCCACCGGGAACCCCTCCAAACCCTCTGAACCATTTGTCTACCTAGCTATCTATCCGGACAACTAGGACATTGCAATCTCTGCCAAATGCAATAGGCTAGTTAACAATAATAAAATACAAGTGCTTTCTGGATGCTCTTTACGAACATCCACTCTGCCTCCATGGGCTGAAGCACTGTGAGGCCCCCTACCCTCCAAGATCATCATGAAACAATGCGAAGGAAAGCTACCATTCGGGGAATGGTGACCATTCAGATTGGTTACCCACCAAATTCTTAAATATGGTTTTACATAAAAAGCTGATTCCTAGCATTGAGAGTTCCTTCCACCAGGGGAGGCTTGGTTACCTGCTGTGACACGGATGATTGTAATCTAAAGAATACCATTCAGAACCTTCTGATAATAATCATATTGCCGTGTCCGCCATGCATCCAGGCTTTTAGCAATAAGCTCCAACACAGATGATACGCATTGCTGCACAGCATGCAATAAAATCCCAATTAGTTCAAGCGTAACATCCATCATACATCGGATGTACCACTTAATATATGGCTACTCATGTCAATCTCTTGTCCAATGAAATAGATGATTGAACAAAGACAGCCCATAAAGCCAGACAACCACCTCCGAACCTTCAAAATTCAATTTAACTTGTTCGAAAAGCCTGTCCTTCATAAAACTGAAGAACGTTAAGAAAGTTTTAACCCGATAGTTTTATCTATTTATTAAATTTTTCTGTAGGCATTAGATGACTAGCTTCTCACCAAGGATCAACATCAAGTAAGCATGACAGTGACAGCACACAAAAAGATGCGCCTCTAACAATGTGTAAATGTATGGCAGTCGGCCAACCCAGATTACACATGTTCGAACACAACAATTTTCATCTTAAATTGAATGGAAATGCGTATGCGATCAGTAGATTAACAGTTCGACGAGTATCTATTTGCACGCATTTGTTACGTTCAGAAACATACTTCCTCAGTCAAGCTTAGATGGAAACGCTTCCTCAAATTTTGCACTGTACGAGGACCTCCTTTAAAGCATGGGCATCCAGAATCCTGCAATCACAGAAGTGTCTATGTGGTGAAGGTAGAGAAAACAAAGCCATACAAAAAACCTTTCTCCGGGAATACCAAAATCCTTCGAAAATATATGAATACACGTTGAACTGAGAACAAGAAAACCGGACGTCACACTGTTCACTCTAAACCCTCCCTTATAAACGTGAAAAATTAACGTATCATCCCCTATGTAAGCCCTAAAAACCATTAACAAAGAGACATTCTCCTAAAGTGAAACCACACCTGCATCATCTCCACCAGTAGAATAATGCGCTCAGCATGTTTCCGGCATGTCAAGAAACCCTGAATACACAGAACCTGCACAACCAACGCAGCATAGTTTGAAAAAGTGAGAGAGGATATAGGGGCGAGGAAATTAAGTACAAGAATCACAGAAATGACTCCAGCTATATAATTTCCAGAAAGTAGGCGCGTACCTTGAAGTAGTCATAGAACTCGCTTGCAGTGCCTTCTGCATCTGAATCCATTACCTAGTTTGAAACGATCCGGACAAAGAGTCAGGTCCCCATGTTCAATCAGTCCTTAATTGCAATACAGAAACGGCCACTGTAGAATTGACTGAGATTGTTGTGTTTACTAAGGTTACCTCAAGAAGCTCGCGCGTAAGTTTGAAAGGAGCACTTTCAAAGTTGACACCACCAGGAGAATTGGAGAGCATAAAACCAAAGTCGATGTGAATGATGTGACCATCCTCATCGATCAACAGATTTGAGTTATGTCTATCTTTCACCTACCAAGTACATTCCCAATCCATTCATACACAATGTAAATATTAGCTGGCCTTGTAGGCTGGATGCCAGTGATACTAGTTGATTCTATTCAACTTTTGAAAGTAGATAAAAGCCAGAAAATAGCCATCAACTCCAAAAAAGAAAAAAATAGAAAAGTTGTGCATGAATACCTGGAGAATATAACAAAGGATAGAATATCCCGCCATGCTCTCCACAAAGTTTCTCTGCCGATCCGAAATTATGTCAGCATTTTCTATTTCGATGCTAATTCGCTACCCAGTGCATTAAAACTATCTAATCAACAGCTACTTTGAATGGTTAACTTAATCTTCCAAAAATTAGTAATCCCCTTTATCGAAATGTGACATGCACAAGTGCTGCTGTGGTTGCTACGGCTTAAGATGGCTCATAAATTCAAACTAAATTTTCTTACATCCTCTGGACCCGCGAGAGAATAACAACTGAACTGCTGTAGTATAATACCATATGAGCTCAGACTTCACAGTAATAGTCATGCAAGGCTACTAAAATACGACAAAAAACCGAATGAATGTTAACCTGAGCAAGTTTGAATGCAGGAGAGCCCTCAACATACTTCTTGCAGAAAAATTCCCGTAAGCTGGTCACATCACTATTCCTACTTTTGATGGAATGAATTGAAGCCTGAGGAACACCAGCAACATCGAACTTTTTAGCTAAGTATAGAACCCAAGAACCAAAGAACTTGGCTGACTCTGACAAATGTTGGTACTACCTCAAAGAAAACACATACAGAATGTAACTGGCTGACGGTAAGTCGGTCTGACCAATCAAATCTCACATCACCAGTTATGTTCATTACCATGAGGTCCAATAAAAAGCTCACCGTATCGTAAATGGTCTCAATCAGAGCTGTATGTGAAGATGTAACAATGACCTCATACGGGCGTAGCCAAAGAGGAAGGCCAGCTTCCTGAAAGATGTCTGTATGTGTGTAGTAAACATTGCATAAGAAAGATTATGTTTGAACATCAGTAATAAGAAGAATATTAAGTTAGTGCGAAAATTTTCTAGGCAACGAGGGTAATGAAAATGCACGGCACTTCACGATATACAAAAAGAAACAATAACATTCTCTCATAACGTTTCTAATACAAGGAACATGTATAGAGCAACTAGCATAATAGTATCTTTTTGAACATCCATAATCTAACAGTAAGTTGATAAATTACCGTAAAAATGTCCAATAAGTTGAACTGCTAAGTGCTCTTGTCTGCAGTCGTCTCCACTCTTCACGATCATCTAGAATGACAAAAGCTACAACAGTCAAGGAACTCGAACCAGAACCAAAAATACAACCTATCATATGACAATTTTATTTTGTTCCGAATACCAGCGAAGCCCCATAATAGATGAACCCTTGACTTACAGAGCGCAAATCCCAATCTGGGCTAGAACTCCATTTAGAAGTCTTCCGTATCCTTTCCCTTTTCTTCTCCCACAATTCACCTGCAAGGGCATCGGTGGCCTTTCCATTCACCCCTAACCTTTCCTGCGAAAATGAGCAATTGATAAATATAAAAGACGACAATGACAGAGATAGGTTGCTCATTAAGCAGATTCCATCTTGCAAGAAGACATAGCACACACACACAAACAAGGATCTTGTCGTCGAAGGCAATACAAATATTACATGGTTCAAAATATGTAAAGAAGGCAAATCGTAGAGATCCTCCTTAAATCCATGGAATACCATACACCCACACGTGTGTGTGTGTGTGTGAGAGAGAGAGGGGTTCTCACCTCAGTTTGTGTCGGTGCTGTTCCACTCTTTTTTACCGGAAGACCAGCTGGGGCTTCACCCTCTGCTACAGCAGCCTGATGAAAGGAAGTTTCAATAATCAGTCTGAAGTCATACTGTAGAGGAAGAGTTCCCTCAAAATACAACACCCATGTAGTTCTATTCTTCATTTGTATTGATCATGTTTGTTGTACGGATTTCCTAGCTTATCAATGTGGGTTAATTATTCTGATAGAGGAACCAGAGACAGAACCCATCAGAAGCCCGACATGTCCACTATTTCTCACTTACTTTCACTTCAGCCATGGCAATTGTACTCGGGACCCGACGATGGTCTTTACTACGGGTCGGCTGTTCCTCCTCTATGTCCTCCATATTCACCCCTGGCACCACAGATAGTACAACACTCACCCACTCTTCATCTTCTGCGCTAGTTTTCCCTTTTTTACCCCATGGATTCTTTACTTTAGGCTTATCATGAGTCCTCGTATTCAACTCAGTAGCTCCTCCCACTTCCCCTCTTAACGAGGTATAATGATTCTGCAAGCCACTTCCATCTAAAGTACAGGTTGATGGACTTCGGCACTCTACTGCGTCTCCTCCAATTCGGCTACAACTTCCCGTTTGTAAAACGGCTAATTGTGGCTTCCTGGATTGAACCGAAAAGCTTACATCAACAACTTTCAATTTGGACTCCCAAAGATGTGCCATTGCAACATCAATTGCCTTGGATGCACTGCGTAAAAGTTGCTGCGTATTTGCCTGTTGAACATCAGGTTGAAGAGGGTAAGCCCACGGAGGAGGCCGCTGCAACTGAGCATCTCCATTAGCAAGCGGTATGCCCCCTTTAGCAGTCTTTGTTCCCGAACTTAACTGCTTTTGATCTTTACTCTGACTACTGCATAATATCAAACAACTGTCAGAAGCAAGAAGTTTCTTGATACAAAACTGAAGCAAGTAGTAATTGAGGGCACACACCAAAATGTGCGAATACGAAAGGATAGATCCCCCGCAAGCTACGCAGGCGTGCCAACAATATATATATATATATATATATATATATATATATATATATATATATATTTCCCACTCAATGAAATACTTACACGAGTCCAGACATACAAAGTTCTCTCAACACTAAGTCCTTCAAATTAAACTGGCCAGTTACCACAGACGGAATGACCAAGCAGCAGCACATTAAAAAAAAAAAGGGAGCGAATAACAAACATGGAATGCAAGTAACCGCAACCTGTTACAAAATAAACAAAATCCCGTCTTCATTATGCTGTAGTCATTATAACCACAGCGATTTCGAAGGCGACTTGCGAAAACAAAGAACATAGGAAGTAGCCCAACCTCTTTGTTTCACATCTGAGGACTTCAATACAAATTAAATACGGAGCTTTATCTCTCGAATTTAGAAGCACACACTCGTCCACGGGAATATGAACTACTCGGTACAATCCCTTGCCCATCGGGAAGCAGACCCCTGTGCCAAGTATTTTCAAGCAAAACGATGTTATCATGTTAGAGAGCCCAAAAATATCGCATGTGACAAGAACAGAAAAGTTTCGAGACAGCTACGTCGAAAGTAAAGATGGTATGCCACAGGCAACTGCGTACACTTCCAGGAAAACAACACCAATGCAAAAACTCAGAACACATTGCTACATTAACCTCTCGCACGTGGTATACTAGCAAAGGATAGCGTCATCAGCGTAAAAAAGGATATTACAGGCGACAAGCACAACTTGCAAAAGTAAAATGAACTAACCTCCGTCACTTTCTGCAGCTACCAGTTGTTGATTTAGTTCAGCAACAGACTGCCATAAAATGAAAGTACAGCTGAAAAAATTTAGAGTATAATCGTCGAATTCAACTAGAAGATTCCATACTTTTAGCCAGAATGTCGGAGCTCCATTTCTTCTAAACATTAGACTCATAATGACTAACTTATACTCATCACAAAAATCAAGGCCATCTACGTTACAAACCTCTCGCAGAGCCTGCAGACGATCCTCCATAGGAAAGCAATCTACTAAGCCCGATGAAGTATCACAAAGAGACTGTACAAGGTCCAAAGTTGCCTGATAGACCCCCTTTCTCATGTTGGATGCAGAATATTTAGGAAGAGGAGGTTTAGTTGAAGCCTTCTCTGTCCTTCGCTTGGGAGAACCTGGTCGCTTCTGTAAAACGAGTTCAAAGCACCAAGTTTGTACTGTAAATAAGGACCTCGAATTCACTTCTTCTGATGGAAAATAACGAGCAAATATAAAAGGTCTACTCCTTAATCGATCACTTGAAGCAAGGAAAACGTCTTCAAAGCTTAAACCATTCGACTCGGTCAAGAATTGTATGAACTTACAATAAAAGACTTCCCCAGGTCAAAAAATGATGAATCTGTAGAAGGCAATTTCCAACTAGAAGTTGAAAGCTTTTCATTCACCGTTTGGGATTCCCTCTCAATCATCTCAGGTTCATCGGCATCAACGTCAAATCGCAGTTCAGCACCAGAAACTTCCATTGACCTCACAAGATTAAGCTCCTTCCCAAGAGTTTCAGAATCATGAGTGCGAACTTTACCACGAAACGCACGGAAGGTATCCTGGAGGAAATTGCCCTCATTTGATCCATCCGTATTATCACTGTTCAAAGAAAGAGAGTTCATCTCATCAGCCAAGCCTCCTGCTTCTTCATCATTCCGTTCTTTAAACAGCCTTCTCAAGAATCCAGAAGGCGTCGAGGAGGGAGCAACAGGTGGCTCACCATCTCGTTTCATACTGAACAACTTGGTACCTTCTTCCTTAAATGTCAAAGAAAAGCGTTTCAAAAAATTCTCGTGGGCAGGACCATTCTCTGCAGTGATCAGAACAGGGTGTTCTTGACCAGGATTGGCCTCAATCATTTTGTCGACTTCAGGATGTACCTGACGGAAGAACTTCCGAAAAAGAGTAAATTCTGAACTTTCGTCCTCGTCTTCATCGTCAGGCTTCTTCAACATCATCCTCCTAAAAAACCCCTCTTTCTCGTCATCCACTTTGTCATCACCGTCAGACTTTTCTCGAAAGAGCCTACGAAAGAATCCTTCCGGGTTTGCCAATTCCTCGCTCCGAACGCCTTTCTCATCATCATCTTTGTCCTTGAAAAACCGCTTAAAGAATCCATCGGATTCGATCTCTTTCGAAGATCGTCTTAGAATGGAGTCTAAATCGCTCTCCTTCACTGGCCTATCATAAATAACCACCTCATCATCCTCTTTGTCCTCTTTCTCTTCTTTATCTCGGAAGGGTTTAAGAAGAACATTCCGAACTTTTGATGTTGAGGTCGGAATGAACTTCTTCAATGCTTTCAATGATGACTCTGTCTCCTCCCCACTGCCCCGTGTCGTCTCGCGAAAACCCTCATCAGCTGCAATAGGCGTAGGTAGTGAAGGCGGTGTTCGTTGCGAAGGTGAAGAAGATGATATCGGAAGTAATCGCCGGGAAGAAAGAACTGCCTTAAAGACACGACTGCCTTTCGTACTAGCGCTTACTACACTTTTCTGAGGTCTGATCAAAGGAGGCCAGCCGCCATTCAGCGCTGCATCCTGACATTTCTCCTGTACTTTCAGAATATCTGTGCTGTCTTCCGCGTCATCTGCTTCTGCCAGAAGAAACCAATGAACCTTTATTGCAATGCGAAGTGATTTTCCACACATGTCAATAATGTACCTCTCAAGAGAGGGACAAGGCATGCGTACTAACATGTAACATAGTTGAAAAAGGTAATTCTCAATGCCCGAGAGAGGTAATGTGTACATGCGATTACACAAATAGTCTCTAACTCCTGAATGTTCATGTTTGTATAGATAGCTCACAGCTATCCATTCACAGAAAAACTCGGAATCAAAGAAGCGGATAAGCCAACCGCTATCACCAGAGGCACTAGGATTTTTCACAATCTCCTTCGGACTGTCTTCTGGATCTCGTGATGTGTAGCCAAGAAGGCGAACCATGGCCCCGTCTTGGCGAGCCCCGACCAGAGCCATAAAATTATCTGCTTAAGACGTCCTATGATGTATTGCCGCCCATCCAGGGCAATACAAGCTCCTAGTACCAATGGAGGTCCCCACGCTTAAGTCCGTTGCCATACACCGAGTGCTTCCGATACTAGTATCACATCTCTGCGTTACCAGAAATCCACTTCCAAATTCCCTATCTCAAGTTCCTAGTTTCTATATCCATGGTGAATGATCGTCAGCCCGTCAGCAAACGGCATACCAGTCCCTTTTCTGCACATCCTTCAGCATATCACTAGTTCCTGCAGCTCGAAGCCAAGAATTCCGGTGCTTCCATCCAGTCATTTTATCGACCATTCCCTCAACGAACATTATCTTCTGCCACATGTTAGCTTCTCAGAAGCACATTTCGATGCCCTCTTGTATTTAGCGATTAGAGGACCAAGGAGGGCCAAGTCGAGCGTGTCAAGAAGAAAACGGATGTATCTGGATTGATAGCAAATAGGTATAGGCAGAATACGAATTGCACATGTGAAACCCTAAGATTTTTACTGTTCCCAAATGCCTGCAGCAAACGTTTTCAGAGGTTTAAAACCTTCACAGACGCAGAAAACAAGGCAATACATGCTTGTCCACAATGCTTATTAGCAAACAGTGAAATTCTAAATCCCTGGCTAACATTCTACAATTCTCGTGAAGCCAAAATTTGAATTCAAGACTGCAGATACAAATAATTCTATATTTCAGCAATCTGTAAAAAAACCGACATAACATAATCCTAGGCACAGACAAACAAACAAGCAAACTAATAGAAGAAGAGGAAGAAGAAGAAGAAGAAGAAGAGGGGGGGGGGAGGGGATTTATGCAGTATTGAGTAGAATTAAGTCAAATAGACAATGAGACAGGAACGAAATCAAAAGTAGTCTTCTTTGCCACTTGGCAAGAAATAGCAATTACATCACGAAAGGTAGGAATGAGTCATTTTACATCCCAGAATCCGTACCAGAAAGGAACATTTAGCTTCACATACAATTACCTGCATTAAGACAAACACCACTCTAAAATGCACCTCTCCTGATTATTACCAAGTAATGTTTGCAATCCAACCATGCTAAGTGAGACCGTATCATTGTCACACATAAACTGCGCAAGGCGAGACATGTAAGCGTGGAGAGCAGTCCCTAGGGTCTCTACCTGATAAACAAACCACCACTGGACTGCACATGTTCTTTAGAGGTGCCGTCCACGCTCTTCTCCTAGCCCCCACCTGTGATATTTTTTTTAATATATCAGAAAATCATATTATCAATCACCAGCCCCACCCCAGACCGGCAGATCAAAACAAGCAGGTCAGCAGCTGCCCTCGACGAGAACTGCACATCTGATCGCAAGCATTACCTCAGGCTGAGAGCATCTCTGAATCGATCAAATTCTAGATTCTACATATAATCCTTTCAACCCCCGCCCCCTTTGCCTTTCTTGCCCCTGCTTCAAATCCCACCCCAATCTGCTCCCGGCCCCTCTAAACGCAGAAACTATGAGCTCCCACACTTACGACCCTCCTACCAGGCTTAAGAAAAAGTCAAAAACGGCGCAATCTCCCACTTGCAGACCCACAAAACCCCAGATCGAATCATAACACACAAAACCTCGAAACGCCGGTCACATCATCACTCACCTAACGCACGCTTCTCGTGTCGCCCGCACCACCCTGTGTGCAGAGCACAAGCCAAGAAGGCGCCCCAGTCCGCCCCACCTACTTCTCCACAATATTCCTGTCACCACCACCGCCGCGATTGAACATCCTCACAACCAAACTCCCCCACAGCAACATCAACAGAAAAAAGCCTCCAGAAAACCAAGCAAACTATCACTCGTGGCAAGGAATACACACACTGCTAGTCCTCCGTCCGTCCCTTCGTCCTTCGCTGTGCAGCGAGAGCCCCTCGCAGGCCTGGACTGGGCTAGCGTGGCCTACCTGTGCCTGGTTCCGCGATGGATGCAAAAAAGGACTCAGCGGGCCATACATTCAGCAGCAGCACAAAAGGATCATCCCCCTCCTCCCTGCCTGCCTGCGACTACCACCGTGCCCGGCACATGACTGCTCGATGATTGCTTGCAGTTATGCTGGCAGGCCGTGAAGCGGGATCAGTTGGTGGATGCGGTGACGACTGCTAAGATTGGAGAATGTGGAATGCAAAATACGAATGCAAATGCGCGAGGCCGGATTGATCCTGACGCGTGGGAGGGCGGGGGCTGGGGGTACTACCGCGACAAGGGCAGGGCGGGGTGGACGACTAAAAGGTGAATTAAAATTAAACAAACCCCAAACCGGAGGATAGCGACCCTGGGACGGGTCGACGGGGGGGGGGGGGGCATAACCACCCTCCCCCCCGGTCCAAACCAGCCTTGGCCCGTCCCCGCTCCCCCTTTCTCTGCTGCTTCCACTTGGCAGGTATGTAGGTAGGTAGGACGAAAGGAACATCCATATAGGATGAATGACCCTTCTGGTAGGTTGTGTTGAAATGCCCCCCCTCCCTGCAAGAGACAATGGGACTCCATCCGTTTTCCTTGGAGGTTTGAACATTTGTTGGATAGTCCCCCTTCTCTACTCCTTCGACCTGCAGAATTCCTCACCACTCCCCTGAGCTCTTCACGGGATGAATGTGGATGAATTTTGCCTCTCCCCCCCCCCCACCTTGTAAAAATAATTATATTATTGTAAGATTAAATAGACAACTTTAGTTATGATGCATTCAGATTTTTAATCTTACAAAATTATATATCTATCATGAATATTTTGTATCATTGTCATTACAATTTAATTCTTTAAAAATAAAAAATTTTAATTTTAAAAGTCAAATTATGTAGTCAGTTTGATGTTATAAATTTTTATTAAATGTTCTGGTTTATCATTTTGTTATTGATAAATAATCAAAAGAGTAGTTTCACCATCCAATGAAAGGTTACAGATATAGTTGATTAAATAAATAAATTTTATAATTATGCAGTAGATTATTTACATAAAAGCTGTTCTGGTAAATTCTCAACAATGATTAAATTATCATTTATTTTATTCTTCAAAACTTTGCATTTGATGCTTAAAAGTATAAAAGTGTTATAAATAACTTTCATCAGTTTTTTGAATTGTAAATTAACTTTTACAGTATACCCAATTACAATTGTACGTATTTCCAATTGTAAAACTTACAAGCTTTGTAAATCAACAAAAATTCTGTTATAACAACCATTAAACTTAATAAGTTAAAATGCATTTGAATTCCACTCTGTATTCTATGAAAGATAAAATTCTGCAAATTAAGTGTGTGTGTGTGTGTGTGTATGTACATAAATCCATTATTATATTTTCAAGTAATTTGGATCTTTTTATCCAAGAATATTTTGAAAAAACATTTTAAGATAAATATTGAAGAGATATTCAATGTAATATACAAATTAAAACCAAGTAATAATATTTTCAAATGTTAAGTTTAAATATCATGCTTGCAATATATTTAAATGATTAAAAATAATAATATGTTAATCTTGTAATATGCATATATATATGTACACATATACATAATCCAAAAGTAATTGCACATTTCTTCATTATTGATGTCCACTAACATCATTGTCATTTTTAAAAAAATCTAAAACTGAAGTTTAGATTTTTAGTTTATTAACATAATTATTAAGTGCTGAAATTATATGTATATATATATATATATATATATATATATATATGACATATACAGGTATTCACAATATTACAACAATTAAAATCATAATAATGGAACACACTATTGGTCTCAAGAGTTTATTATTTGGATTGGCATTTCATAATCATTGGACTCTGGCATTGTCTTTGTGTGACTACGTAGCAACTCATGGCATAGTTGGGAAACTGAATAAAAGTCTTTACCCTCAATTTATCCATATTGCAATATATTCATTGCCACATGTCTAAACTAAAACTAAAACCTTTGAAGTTGTTGGGTTTTGATGGTGGAGGAAGTGTGGAAGTGAATGTGTTCCATCAAAGCTTTTTGAAGTTAGAAGGAATTAGGTGGGATTTTAGAATAAACATTTTGGTGAGGTTTTAGGTTTTGTTTAAACTTTAGACTAGATGTTATTGTATAGAGATTGCATAAGCTATATATATATATATATATATATATATATATATATATATATATATAAAAAAAAAAAAATCCAATTAGTGGATTAATAATAGATGATTATTTTGATGAAATTACATGTGTGTAGAATCAATGTCAACATTAGTGCTTGTAATAAATGTAGTATCAAAGGTATCAATCCTATTTCTTTAGTTGATTGTGGTACCTATATCTAAATATATATAAAAAACTTTTGTGTCTTAAGTATTGGCTTCTTTGTGAATGGTCAAAGGTAATTTTGATAATTTTAGTTGGTGTTATAATAGTAGAATTGCATAAAACCTATGTTATTGTAACATAGAGGAGATTAGAAAATGATGGTGTGGTATTTTAAGCTGCAAATTTTAAGATTATAATAATTTAATATGTTTCTTTCATCTTTATAAACTTTTATTAATATTCAATATTAATGGCAGTTAGGTTATAATTCTATATTTCTATGTACTGTTCAAACAGATTTTAATGTATTGCATTCTACGTAATATTTATTATGTAAAATTAATAAATAATATTATTTATGTGTTGTTAAAGAAGTTTTATTTTTTATTTTTTAAGTTGGATATCTTATTTCTAATAACATTCATATATGCAGTTCTACCTCTATTTTATTTATTCCTGAGTAAGCTTGTGTATGTTGCATCTTCTTTCTACATTGGATTGTATATGTATTGAAGTTTAGACTTATTAATGGCCCTACATAAGGCATAAATCTCAAATTCAAACTTACTTGTGTTGTAAAATATACTTGCATAGCTTCTGCTAAGTACCAAATTTTAATAATCATTCATATGTCTTGTGAAAAATTCACAAAGTTTTTAAATGCAACGGTTGTTATGTACACATTGAGGCATGGATATTTATTGTTTTAATTTTAATATTAATTTAATTTTTAATTTATAAAAAAATCATCTTAGTTTCTTTCTGTGATTGTTTTGTGTGATTTTTTTTAGTATTTATCTGATATTTTTAGATATCTTGTACATTAGAACTCTTGAAAGAATTTTAGAAATTTTGAAAGATTTTCTTGCAATAAAAATCTACAATATTGTTCACTTGGTTTTTGTATTTATTTTTATAAGCTATTTAAGATAAACTCATTAAATTAAAAAATATTTGACATATTGGTTTTATTGTAATTAAATTATAATAACATAAATCCTAGAAAATCGTTTATTGATTTTTTTTTTGGATTAGATAGACTTTTTTAATTGACATCTATTTGTTTGTTTTTTTTTGTTTTTGTTTTTGTTTTTTTTTTCTTTGACATATAAATTGAAAAAATACATAAAATCTTAGTAATGTGTTCTTCAAGTATATATTATAATAAAATGATATTTAAAAATAATATCATTTATTTCTTAATATTCAAATTATAATAATTCAATGATTTAGAATTTTAACAACTTATTTGTTCTATCTAAATCGCTTTTTATAATATTTTTTTTGATTTTTTAAAAATACATATTTTATTATGAACCTTATTTGTAAAAATTATAGAAATATCTTTGAAGAAATTTTCTTACAAATATCCGTATATTATCTATTGAAAAAACTTGTGGTAAATTAAAGAATTAATTAAAACAATAAGAATTAAATAATAACAATTAAAAAGAAAAAAAAATAATATTCTTGCTTTCAAAAATTGAGAGCTTGTGTAAAAGTGTGATTTTCAAAAATATACTTAATACATTTTAAAAATCTAAAAATAACTAGTTTATGTTTTAAAACTCTATTATAAAGTTGAAATCAAATAAAAAATATATGAAATTATTATAAAAAATAATAATATATGTTTATTACATTCAAATGTAATGAATAGAATTTAGTGTTGCAATGTTTTATTTTATATATGTGTTGTATATCATGTCATTTAAATCTATATAAATGGATTATTTGTATATAATCTTTGTAATTTATTTTTTTGTATTTAGTGACGTTTCATTTAATTTAATACTATTTATTATTTTTAAATTTTATTATAAATATTTTAATTATTTTTAAAATTTTTATCTTATGCTAATGCTCCATGTAAGAGCAGTAATAAGTAAGATTGTACAATAAACAAATGCAAATAAATTATTTTATTATTTCCATTTTATATTATTTTTAATTATAAATCAAGCCTTTTATAGGTGCTAATTAAGTTCTAATTTTCTAAAGATTTAGTTAATATTGACAAAATGGATATTGATATTTCAAACAAATTAAAAGATATGTCTATTGTAATTTGTAAGAGTAAAATTTACTTCTCAATTCAAATTACAAGATGAATTCAAGTTATAATTGCTTGTAATTAGTGGTGTGAAGTGAAAAGTATAACCAACAAGAAACAAAGAAATAAAAAAGATTACAGAATTGAAAGAAATATAATAAAATAAATATACACTTTAAAAACTTTTATAATTTGTTTTTTAGATTTTTACTTCATAAAAAGTAAAAGATAGATTTTATTTATTTATTTTTGAATAAATCTTTTATCTTTCTAATGACATAAAGAATATGTAAATTAGAGTTATTATGAATGAGTTTTGAGGATTTAAGCCTCACTAAGGCTCTAAAAGTAATGCGGAGGGTGTCATAGAGGGGTCACAAGACCTTAGTCTTATCCTCCTACATACATCCAAGGTGCTACAACCTATATGGAACATATGCACATTCCTTCCTATAAATATTATTCTAATTGCTAATTACTATGATTTCTATTAATAAATCATATTATTTTTAAATTTTTTGACTTTATCATGGTATTTAAAGACACTTAATTATCCTACAAATCTTACAAAGTCTCCAAATCTTACTTCAATTGTTTACAATGGCCTCCCACAGTGGTAAAATCATTTTTTTCAAAATTCTTTAATATATATTTTTGAACTTTCTAAATAAATTCTAAATAAATTCAAATAGATTATTTAATATTTTAAATATTATAATATAAATTTAATAATATTTTTTATCATAATTTTTTTATAGTTATAAATTCAATTTTTATCAATTAAAAATCCTATTTTTTACATCAATCACTTAAAATGTATGAATCTCTTTCTTATATTTCTTCTACCTACAAATTAATATTAATAAGTTTATAATAAATA